CTAATGAAAAGCAGATTATGTGAGCATGGTACCTCATCAGTCCCCAAGCTTGAGGCAGCAATCTCAACACACTGGCCTAAAACAGCAACAGAACTCAAGCAAAATGCTAGGCGATTCACGAAAAAAGCACGTAGCAATTCTTCTCACTGTCACTGCCCAGAGGTAATTGAGTGATATCTGAAACCGCTAATGTGGAGTCAGATGAGTAATCTATCAGCTGACAGGGCATCAAGATTATAGGTCGATTTGCATAATATTAGAAGGCTATTACCGAAAAACGCCAAAAATCTTGGCGCGGGACCCTCGCGCCAAGATTTCTGACGTGCACTATTATATATATATATATATATATATATATATATATATATATATATATATATATATATATATATATATATATATATATATATATATATTTGGGTGTATGTGTGTGTGTGTGTGTATGTATGTATGTATATTTATATGTGTATATATATGTATATGCTATATGTATATGTATATCTATATATATATATATATATATATATATATATATATATATATATATATATATATATATATATATATATATATATATTGGGTGTGCGTGCGTATGTATATGTATATGTGTATATGTATATGTATATTATATATATGTATATGTATATGTATATATATATATATATAATATATATATATATATATATATATATATATATATATATATATATATATATATATATATATATATATATATATATATATATATATATTATATATATATATATATATATATATATATATATATATATATATATATATATATATATATTATATATATATATATATATATATATATATATTTATATATTATATATATATATTTATATATTTATATATATATATATATATATATATATATATATATATATATATATATATATATATATATATATATATATATATATATATAATATATATATATATATATATATATATATATATATATATATATATATATATATATATATAAATATATATATATATATATATATATATATATATATATATATATATATATATATATATATATAATATAAATATATATAATATATATACTATATATATATATATATATATATATATATATATATATATATATATATATATATATATATATATATATTATATATATATATATATATATATACATATACACACATACATATATACATGTATACATATATATATTTCACACACACACACACCTCAGAGTATAATGATCCTTATCCCTCCTCCGATATTTGCAGAAATGGCAGATGCAAACTATTTCAACGACAACACGGCAAAACTGAGAAATTTAGCACAGCACTCATGAGCAATGTATGGTCACAGGCCACCCACCCCATACAAACACACACTGTACTTACGTCAATTATAATTCAGTGCAATATTTATCGTTATCTCTGTCTTCTTAGTTTACTACATGAAGTATGTTATCATAGGAATTGCTTTTCCGTACATCTTCTACAGCTGCCTTCGTTTTTTTTCCATTTTCCTTCTGATGCTTATCTATTTCTCTCTTTTGCTTTTTCCTTTTCATGTCGCTCTTTGTTTGTTGCTTTATTTTGCAGTCAACTATTTTCTCTTTTTTTTCTGTTTCTTTAAATATATGAATTGTTGAAGTTATTAGTAAACCCCATATATATATATATATATATATATATATATATATATATATATATATATATATATATATATATATATATATATAATGAAATACTGGAGAAAAAAATAAAACTTTAAAACTTTTATTTTCATTTGAGTATTTCCAAGCATAAGTAAAATCTGAAGACCTTGGATCTCATTTGTAAACATGATGTGCTCGAGATATAAATTATTATGACAACTGTAGTGTAAAACTGAGAAGTGCATGACTTGCTTTTGTATATGATAATGTATAATGGATTCTTGTAAATTCTTGCTGCTTAATGTACATGAATTATCAGTTTCATAATTTGTTCATTTAAAATTTAGATATACACTGCTATGATGATAATACAAGGGGTATTCAAAGAAATTATTAAATTACTTGATAAGTCTGCTTTAGCCCTATGCTCGATTCTGCTCATCAATTTCAATTCGAACTTGACGAGATGCTCAAGTCTTTTAATAATAGAGCCTGAAATAAATAACATTCTGTGGTCTGTGATACTGAATAATGTATTAATGCTATAACTTGTTCTGAAATTGCTATTCAATTGTTCTGATAGTGTGTAAGAGACTTTCTTGTGTCATCCTTCTCTTGCTTGCTTGGAAAGAAGAAGAAGAGTAAAAGAAAAGAAAAAGAAAAGGAAAAAAGAAAAAAAAAAAGAAATATAATGAAAAGAAATGTGTAAACAAAATGGCTTGGTTATTCCCTCTTTCATTTTATCTGTTTACTTATTCTCTATTCTTTCTCTCGTTTATAGTTTTTTTTTTTATTGTGCATTTCTTCCTTCTATTCATTTTGTCATCACATATCCATTCCTCATTCCTTCATTCATAACATCTCTACTACCTTAGTCATTCATTCATTCAACCATTCATTAATTCTCATATATTTCCTCATTTCTTTGTTTGTTTGTTTTTTGCTTCTTCCCTTACATATTCCTTTTAGCATTTTTTTTTTTCATTTGTCCTTCCATTGCTGATTATGATCTTCATTTATTCATCTGCAGCCAATTCCTTAATTCATACATTTTTCCACACCGTCATGCAGTCAGTCATAAAATTTCAATTCCTATTTTCCCCCACTTATCCCCATTCTTTGTTTATACATGCCTTCATTCATGAATCACTCACATATTCACTCACTCAATCAAATATTCTTATTCAAATATCCCTCATTCATACAATGCTATTTCCACTCACTCACTCATCACTCATTCATTTATAAATGATCAAGCAATTACCACAACTATTATTATACTGCACCCTAGTTGAGATGAGTATCAGATATCTTCAAGAGTAACAATGAATATTTTTTTAAAATAATAAATAAACAATATTCTTACATAATCTGCTGAGCCTAAGTTTATCATAAATAATATTCTATAACCTGGAGAGCTTATATATTCAAATTATTTATATTCATTTCAACTAATCAAAGACACATACCTTTATCCACTTTTCTGTTCATCTGTTGGGAAAAGAATTATTTTTCTTCTATGACAACACAGTTTCTCTTAAGTATCTTGATTTTCCTATATTTTGCAGGTTTCCAACCTCAAAAGGTACAACACAATTAAGCACAATATTCGTGCAATTCTTTCTCGTTAGTACAAACCTCCTTGTATGTGCATAGTGTAATGTAGTTCAACTCCTTCAGATTCCAACGACATAGAGCAATGTCAAGCAGCTCTCATTTGCCCCAATTTGGATGGCATTGCAATCACCCACTGAAGAATAAACTTATTGTAATGCATTGGTTAACGTGCTGGTCTTGCAATCTTGCTGACCTGCATTCAACTCTGAGCACTACCAGTGGATGGTAAGCCTGGACATTCCTTGCACACAGGGGGAGATTTAGAAGCAAAATAAAACAGACAGTATGTCTGCTAAGAATATCCATTGTAACATATGGAATTTCAGTCATTATTGAGAATTTTTCTTTTCACAGAACAACTAGGTAAGATCTATAGCAAAGTATGTATATGAATACGGAACTTTTTTGTATTTTTTATTAAGAACATGCCACATTTCCATCCACACTAAATAAGTTTCCAAGTATTAAAAGTAATAGTATCAATCAGTCGGGCATAAAAAAATGCTCCACATTATGTCACATTCAAAATAAAAATTCCAACAAAGAAAAGGTAATTAAAACCATAAAAGGATAATTAGAAACTGATATTAATAACCAATTACCACATTAAAACATGAAATAAATTATACCAACACTCCTTTTGACTTTTGGTGGTATATCAGCTTAGTCATATATCACAAAAAAAGAGTCAATATTCCTTTTCTAAAGTCCATTCTCTAACACTCTTACTTTAAATGCTATGAAATTTGAAGTAATGCTTTTGTGATCTGAAATGCTCCATACAAACTGACAGAAGAAGCAAGCAAGTTTTCAAAAATTAGCAAAATTATAATACTTGTGGTAAGGTTTATGTTAAGAAATAGCCATTCCCCTTTTTTTTTCTTTTTTTTTCTTTTTCTCCTTTTTTAATATTTTTTTCATATTTGAGAGCTAGGCCACTGGCTGCAAATAAACTTGTAAATATTTCCTATCTCATGTCAAAGAAATATAGAGAGACAATATACTAAGTACAAAAACAAATAAAAGTGTTCTTTCATTCATTCCTCCACAATTATTAGCAGTACCATACCGTATAAGAATAGTCATTTCATAAACCACATTAATACATTCAAAATTCTCTTCCATATCTGAGACAGACACCATAACTGCATCTGATCTCTGTTACAAGTAAGACTTCAGTCAGTGGCTCTACCATCATGAAAAATCAAATCGACCTTACGCCTTTCACTCAAATGCACATAAGCACATCAAAACCTCGTATCAAGCAATGGCGGAGATCACTGCTCGGCTGTGTACAAAAACATATAACACAGATACATTGGAAAAATCAACAGCTTGTCTGGAAGCTTGAGAGTAAGCCTTTGACATGCTTTATGTTTTAATTTGGCGGAATAACTTTATGGTTCGGATTTATCCCTACTCTTCCAAGCTCCGGGCAAAATATATTAATATTTGTCTTAATTACTTACTGAGGATAAAGGAGTTAAAAAGAGTGAGGGAAAAAGAAGCTGAGGGGGGAGGGGGAAGAGAGAAAGAGAGAAAGAGAGAGGGGGGGGAGGGGGAGGGAGAGGGAGGGGAAGGGGGAGGGAGAGGGAGAGGAGAGGGAGAGGGAGAGGGAGAGGGAGGAGGGAAAGGGAAAGGGAAAGGGAGAAGGGAGAGGGAGAGGGAGAGGGAGAGGGAGAGGGAAAAGGAAGAAGGAAGAGGATAGGAGAGAGAAGGCAGAGGAGGAATGAGGAATGAGGAATGAGGGAAGAGGGAAGGGGGAAAGGGAGAATAGGGGAGAAAGGAGAGAAAAGTGGAAAAAAAAATAGAAGGAAAGAAGGTAGGGGGAAGAGAAGTAACTTGTGGAATATGTGGATCAGAATAGTAGGAAAATAAAATAACAGGGGAGAAAAATTTCATGAAGTGGTGCAACATAATGAAAGAAAAACAGGGATTCACCAACTATAAATAAATAAATAATTGACATGACATATACATGTGATGGAATCATTGTACAAAAAAATACCAAGTTTTACCCTGAAAGATTTGTGAACATTTCTATAACATTATAATATTACACATACCCATAAATTAAACCATAATCCACTTATATGATTCCTCAACTTGTATATTAAAAAGGAATGACTGAAAAATGAATCAATTTAAAATACATAATACTAAAAAAAAAAAAAAATCCTACAACTACAACGCACAAACTTATTCACAATCCCTAAAACATAAATAACATATCTTTCCCCATGAACATTCATATGATTGTCAGCTTGCAATGATAGTTTATACATGGCATTTGCACAATTAGAATTCTTGCCTCTGCGACAGTTTAGTTGAAGCAGGATAAAAGCGCCGCCACCACATTCAATTCCGCAAGCCATTCTCACACCCTTAAAGACCCTGGCAAACATTGTGCGAAGTTAAGATTTTATTTTATTTTTTTCGATTTCTCTCCCCTCTAAATGGAGTGTTATTTTCCTGTTAATACCTCCAGTTTTCCTTACATCCTTCCATTCTTTTTATACTAGAGTATTTAGTCATCCATCCCCCCCCCCCTTAAATAGGAATATTATATCTTTCATCTAACATTTTCTTCTAAGCCTCGCAGAACGGAACAGAACTTCTATCTTTTTTTTTCTTCGTTTTTAATCTTTTTTAATGTCCCACAACTTTTCACACACCCTTTGGCCAGACACCCACTTGCTAGGTGTGCTTGACCCTGGCTAAAGCCACGTAGCTCTTCTTGGTGGTGTTGTCATGCCAGCCGACTGGTCCTCTCTCACAGTCTGCACACACAAGGTACTTCGTGCTGCCAACCGTGTGGGAGAAGCCGATATTGTCGAAGGTGAACATGTCATCCACTACCCACCATTCACCAAGCTGTGGATCAGTGCAAAAATCAGTATATTTCACTAAGAAAAAATTGTGTATATTTGAGTGTGTGTGTGTGTGTGTGTGTGTGTGTGTGTGTGTGGTGTGTGTGTGTGTGTGTGTGTGTGTGTGTGTGTGTGTGTGTGTGTGTGTGTGTGTTGTGTGTGTGTGTGTGTGTGTGTGTGTATGTATGTGTGTGTGTGTGTGTGTGTGTGTGTGTGTGTGTGTGTGGTGTGTGTGTGTGTGTGTGTGTGTGTGTGTGTGTGTGTGTGTGTGTGTGTGTGTGTGTGCGTGTGTGTGTGTAATCAAATCTATTCTTTGTTCTCTTTGAATTAATCCAATCATTACAATGGCTTTTTCTCTGGAAAACTTATTCATATACATTGACTAAAAATAAATGTGAGACTTAGTTCTGGAGCCTTCTAAGCAACTTCCATCTAAACGAATAGCTTTCTTCCAATTCTGTAATATTTCGAACTGTAGACAAAACTGAAATCAAAGGCTAGACTCTAACTTCAACATCTTGGAGAGAGAGAAAAAAAGCTGAAATAAGCCACTCAGTGCTAGGCAGTCCTAAGCACCACCTTGGGAATAAATGGTTTACTAGAAGTCTATCCCTCATCAACTGTATCTCTATCCTACTTAATTGTGGAAATGCTAATGTAATCTCTTAACATGGGTTTAAATCCCTATTGAACCCAAAGCTTTACTGCCTTTTGCTTCAGATGTGAAGGAACTTTAGGAATAATTTTGCCCCCATTCTTTTTAATTTCACTTGTGGCCTTTTGTTGCTTTGAATAAATTCCATAGCGAGTGCACCTGCTATAGTATTATAGTTCATCATATTAACTAAGTGTACTGCCATTTAAACTAACATTAATATATTGCCATACTAGTTTCATTCTTACATTGTAAGAATAATAGGAAAGAGTAGAAAAATATAGATAAGTTATAAACAAAGACAAAAAACAAGGAAAAGAAAAAAATAAAATACATCTAAAAAAAGGGGGGAAATCCTTAACAAAGAATAAAAGAAAAAATTAAGCATATTGCAAAAATGAACAATAAATAGAGACCTAAAGAAAACAATTTAAGAAAAAAGGAAGGAAAGCAAAAAAAAAAAAAAAAAAACTCAATAAATAAAAATTGCTTATTACGAACAATAAAATATAACAAGTACATATATAAGTATTATGTAAGGGTGCTCACATCCTCTGTATTTGGTGATGGCTGATCTTTGGGCTGCGTCGGGGTTGGCAGTGCATGCGACTGACTGAGGAAAGTGGCCGACTGGGGAGACAACACCCGGGACTCGCAATGGATGCATTTCACCACACAGCTGTTCTGGCCTTCTCGCACCAAGCAGTTAGTGTCTGCCATGCTGAAAATGGAACTATAGGTGTGTTACTTGTACTTTCTTTTTTTTCTTGTTATTTTTTCACTCCCTTTCCATTTGCCTTTCCCTCTATTTTTCTTTCTCTTTCCCTCTATCTCTCACTCTGCCTCTCCCTCATTCCCTCCATTTCATTTTCTCTCTCCTTCTCTCTTTGCCTCTCCCTCATTCCCTCCATTTCACTTTCTCTCTCTTTCTCCCTTTGACTCTCCCTCTCCCTCTCCCTCACCCCATTCCCTCCTTTCTTTCTCTGGTTTCCAATAATCTTAACAGAAGCTTATCATTAAATTTCTTTTCTATTTCAATAATCTTTAAATAAAATAACTTTCACTTTCTCAGGTTTTATTAATCAGTACAATAATTTTCAAAATATGAATATAGTTTCTTTAAAACTATTTTCTATCTCAACTCTAATCTAATACTAAGTTTAATAGTAGTCAACTTTATAATCTTTTAGTAATTACAATGAAATTCTGAAAAAAATATATATGCTTTATATACCACGTCTTAGATAAATACTTGAACATTACAAATATGTCTGAAAAATTATGCAATCATCTAAATGTTTTTTTTCTAACAAATTTAGTCTATCAAATTTATAGCTAGGACACTGATATATAACAAATATTTCCACAACTTCTCTGAAAAAAATCAAACAGCTTATATTATCACACTTCTCAATCATTTATGCAATTAATTTTTTTCAGAGAATATATATGCCATGGATGATATTACAACAATATAATTTTCTGTAATTTCCTTTCAAGAAATAGATGTCTTTTCCTTACATGCTGTTTCTTTACTGGGACTTCAATCATGATAATCTGCATTATTCTGCGATCTTCTGTAATTGCTTGTTCCTCTACTCTCACCCTCATCCTTCCTCTGGTAAAACGGCCTTGCTCTTCTGCGCGATTCTTCTTCTCTTCGAAACGGGGCATTGGTCCTTCTACCCCTGAAACTATCTCTGTTTCTCGTGTATCTTTCTGCATCCCTGTTCCCTCTTGCTGTATATCCTCCTCTCGTGTCTGTGGGATTCTGCTGTGGGTTGATGACAATAGGTTTCTTCCATGGTCGGTCCACACACCCAAATCTCAGCTGTCCTGCTTCCTTGCGTCCTCCCCAGCCTCCTCCCAGCCTTCTTGGAATCCAGCCTTTCATCTTGCGCCCCACTTCCCAGTCAACAATCACCTGATGCCCCTCTATCTCAAGGCCCCGACACTCCCTCTGTGCCTCAGCTGCATCTCGTCCTCGCCGGAACTCAACAAAGCCATATCCTTTGCTCTGGCCAGTAACAATATCAGTAACCAGATGGACACTCTCTACAACACCAAACCGTGAAAACCTATCTCTCAGCTGGTCCTCTTCCAGATTTTGAGGTAATCTGCCCACAAAGAGTGTGCGATCAGGGTTGGAAGAGAGCTCTGGTGGGGTGTGGTGGGCATGCATGGCCCGCCAAACTGCCCTGTCATGTGGCTCTGTATCCGTGCCATCAATGCTTCCAGCTGCCAGTGGGTCATATTCACGTGCTATAGGTTTCCAGTCTCCTGGCATCTTGCTTTTGTAGGATTTCCAAGCCACGTGCTTCTGAATCAATCAGAAGATAAGTTCCAAAGCACCACAGAAACTAAACACCTTTCAGTTTCTCCATCCTTCTAGTACGTTTAAATCTTGGTTCAGATGCCCTGTACAGCTAATACTTTCACATGTAAGTTTCAATTATAATCTTGTTATCTCCTCATCTTCCTATTCTGTCTTCCTCTCTGCAAGAGTTAATGTCATAAATTTACATCACTCAACAAGACAAAACATGCATCAAGTCTGATATTACAACCTCAGTCCCTTACAAATGCTTAAGAATAACCCTGTCATACCAAAGTAAAAAATATATACATTTGCCATGATAAATAATGAGCTCTTGCTTACATCTTATCATGACCTTCCCATCAAATCTATAGAGATCACATTAAATACAACATTCCACCATATTTCCTGATCTAGTGACATCAAGACACTTTTCCATGCCATGGTCACACTGCATCATACAAATCAATCTTAGTTCCACAAAAGTACCCAACTTTGGCTGGTTACCGTACTTGGTAGTAAGCTCCACATGAGAGCTTATTATACCGTACATTATTCCCTGAAACCTTACAAGTCATAAAAAGTGAATAAACAAAATTCAAGCTATCCATGAACAAAACAAAAATAAAATCTCTATCATTCTGTACCACCACCTCCACCATTCTGTTCCACCATTACCTTTCTTGCTTCATGAATAAATCCAGCAAAAAAATGAATCTCAGGGGAAAAAAACAGCTATCTCAGTTCTCTATTTTCTCAATGTGAGTTAAAGAAACTTGTAAACATAAATTTTCTCTAGTACTCCAAAATGGATGTCTACAAAAAATAATTAAAAAGACAAATAGTAGTAATAGTAGTATTAATAGTATTAA